TTCCCAGAAATAATAATATCAGGAAAATCTTATTGTCTTCTAATAGGAAAAAAAGATTAAGAGCTGTTGGGGCACCAGCTGCAGGTAGTTCAGAGCTTAAATGATATTACTAAAGGCCAGATTATCTGATAGGTCTGAGCGGATATCCCTGACCGGTACCACATGGCCCTATAACACCGTAGATAGCCAAACACTTGACACTTACTAGCTGTGTGACCCTGGGCAAGTCACTTAACCCCAATTGCCTAAAAAAATTTTTTAAAAAAACCACAGTAGATAGGAAAGGAAATGAATTTGTTACACTCGCTCCCTCTTACACCACCCATTAAATCTGTACAAATATCTGACTTTGCCACAGAATTAGAACCCCCCACCCAACCCTCAAAAAATAAAATAATAAATACAAAATATCGTAATTTTAGTAGCACAGATCTCATGGCATTTTAAGTTAATTCAGGTTGGTTTTTATGTGCATGGAAGCACAGGATAAAGTATTCACCCTGAGGTTTTAATAAATCTCACTATTCCTCTCTTCCATTAGGTTCAGGATGTGTCAACAATACGTTTATGAAACTTGAACACAAACTAGGTTTATTGCAAAGGGAATGAACGTACATATGGAACTCTAAGCAAGAGCAGAGAGTTCACAATCCATGCAGAAGTTTGCATATTTATGACAGTACCAAAAAGGGAGGAAGAAGAAACAGAAATCTCCTCCTAAAGAGGTGTGGCAGGAAAGGGGAAGAAGGATAAGATGGGAAAAGGACAAAACCCCTCCGGAAGGGGAGGAGCATGGTGACGGCAAAAGCCCCATTCTTTTCTCTTGGGAACTGCTAGATGGTGAATATAGGATGGTCTGATTACATACAAGGGTCCCAGCTGTACAAGCCGTTTCTCAGTCTGGTGCAGACTGGAGCCTGTCTTGACTCCCAAGGGCACACAGGGAGTCCAGCTTGGTGTACAAACAACAAATTATGTCAGCCCAGGGCAGTGGGGGAACTTGGTCCATTCAAGGGCCTCCTGCATGCTCTGGGTTCAGTGTTTCCGGAAAGCATGGCAACTCAAAAAGACAAGTTCAGAGGAACTTTTAACATTTCTTAACACATGACAAATCAAATTAATATATTAGGCAGAGTTCTTCTGAAAGTCCAACTCAATATGAATGTAAGAGACATTTTTTATATTCATTTTTATAAAAGCAAACATTTCTACTGCCAGAAAGTATACTTTCTCTGGTAATTTATTTTTATATATCATATATTTATTTATTTTTTATTTTTATATATCATATGTTACAGAGAGATAACCTACTATGTGCCAGGCAATGTGTTAAGTGCTGGGAATACAAAGAAAGACAAAAAAACAATCCCTTCTCTCAAGATTTGTTGGAGGATACAGCATGTAGTCAACTATGTACAAACAAGAGATAGACAGGATAAATTATGGTTAGTCATATAGCGAAGGCCCTGAGATTAAGGAGGATGGGAAAAGCTTCTTGCAGAAAGTGGGACTCTAGGTGAGACTTGAAGAAAGCCAGGGAAGCATTGAAGAGCATTGAACCTGGAAATGGAAAATGAAAATGGAAAAACCTTGGATCTAGGCAGCATAGTGGATACTGAATAGAGTAATAGGCTTAGAGACAGCTAAAACCTGAGTTCAAATCCTACCTCTGATATTTACTATCTGTATTACTGTGGGTAAGTTATCTCCTTGAGCCTCAATTTCCTCATTTGTAAAATGAGGGATTGGAGGTGATAACCCTTAAGGTCTATCCTAATTCTAAATCTACATTCGGCGAGTCTCAGCTCTACAATTTACTGGCGTGTGAAACAGTGGAAAAGTTATTTAATCTCACTCTGTTTTCTCATTTATAAAACGGGAATAATAATGCTGCACTGCCTATCTCGTAGAGTTGTTGAGGGGAAAGTGCTTCCATAGTATCATAGATTTATAGCTGTATGTAGCCTTAGAGCTCGTGTAGTCCAGCCTCCATGGTTTTACTGATGGGGAGACAGTTTCAAAGAGGTTCAGTGACCTCCTTCAGGACACACAGATAATGAATGGCAGAGTGAGGATTTCAATTCAGGTTGTTGTTGTTTGTCTTTCCTTTCTTAAGAGGAGCAATGATGGGGTGACGTCTTGACTCATGGGTGAATTGGATTTAAGCGAGGCAGAATTGTACAAAGTTGTCAGCCTCATTCTCTCGTACTGAGTCATCAAAGTCCAGTGGCAGGACAAAAGTCAGGATGACTGATGATGGCCCAGGAAACAGTGGATGACTTTGGTGTCTTCGATGTCTAACTAAGTTCTAAGCACTTCACGGAACCTGATTCAGCTGTATTCATAGCCATTGGAACAAATTGTTCTCATTTGCCCATTCTGCCAGGGGAAGTCTTTACATGCTTAGGGTAGAAGCCCCCCTAACTCACCAATGAGTTTGAGGCCTATCAGTTACTCTAAACCTAGTTTGGTCCATCTGCTGAGACAGTTTACTGAGGTGTGGCCATTGCACACGCTACAGCTTTTGGAGACACAAATAAGAGTTGGGTGCTAGGTAGATATCAAAGGTATATAAGTAGCACTGAAAAGGACTCAGTAAACCTTCATACCAGAAGTGCTAGTCCTCCTTGAACATCCTATACACACCTAAATCCAGGTACTCTGATTCCAAATCCAGTCCTATTTCCGAAGTACCACACTCATCTTTTGTAAGCCAAAAAGTGGTTTCTGAATGTGAACTATGATTTTCATTTTGGCCACAACTGTAGCTAAGGCACAAAGCTTTCACAAGGCTTACCAAAGCTTCAAGGCAGTGCACAATAAAGCACAATTTTCAACGTTTCCTATGGCATACAGACCCCTTGTCTAGCCTCAGATATTGGACTTCATTAACAGAAGCTTAGTGTCCAGAAAGGAGGTTATAATCACTGTATACTCTCTAGATCACATGTGGAGTATTTTCAGTTCTCAGCATCATTTTTCAATGTAACCAGAGGCTCAAAGTCCGTTTGCTAGGATTCTCCTCATCCACAGAGATTGGTTACTCAATTTTCCATGCCTGTGTGAAGGGGTAGAATTGGTGAGAGCTTGGGAAAAAAAGATTCTTGGTGTTCTGGCCTGCAGCTTCTAGAAAGAAGACATGGGGCTCCAGATTCTTTTTAGAGAGAAGTCCCTAAAAGGAGAGAAAGACTCTGGGAAGAAGCTAACATGTAGAGGAGCTGGTACCTTGATCGTATCCTTATTCCCAGCTTATCACACCAGAGACTTCAAGTAATTTCTGTCTAGTTGAGATCTGGGACTTTCTCTCCTAGTGGAAGAACTCATTCAGTATGTATATTTTTTGGTGTATTCTCATCTGTATAACTTCTCTGATGTGTTTGCTATTGACTTGGATGAATAGGCTTATGTGTTATTTACCATGTGTGGTCTTTGTGTAACTTGCATTAAGGGGGAAGGGAATCAAGACTTAGATATATAACGTGGGACACTTCTATATCAATCATATTGCTCAGGAGTTCATCTTGAGCCTATAGGTTATTTCTTCTAGACTAACGATATTTAAGATGTTAAACTGATACAATTCTAGCCTGGTAGGTACTCTTTATCTGAGGAGAACAGAGTGGCCAGCCTCAAAGCCCCAATCTCCTATTCTCCCCTTGACTGGAATCAAAATCTGCCTGGGAGAAGGCTAAGAGGAGGAGGCTATAGAGATATCTATTTATGCCCCCCTGCAAGCTACAGCTAGACAGACTCATGTGGACACATATAATCTATATGAGACATACACACATACACACACACACTTTACATGAGGAAGGATATCAAACTGGAGCAAGAGGGTGACTGGGATAATGAAGAGCCTTAAGATAATGGGGCTCGGTCAAAAGAACAAGGGATGTTTATTCTGAAAAAAAGAAGATAAAATAACTGCCTGCAAATAAGGAAGAGAGATAAATTGGCATTGTTCTATGAATGGTAAAAGTGAAACCAGGCTGAGAAAAGTCGCAAGGATACAGTTCAATAACTGTCTAACAAGTTGAGTTGTCAAAAAACCACAATGGAAGGGTTTTCATGGTAATGTCTGAACTGCCCCCCAAAAAAATCCAAGGGAAAGATTTTCTTATACGGTGACCCGTGAGTTCCTCACTATTAGAGCTGTTCAGGGATCTGTCAGGGGCATCACAGAGGGGTTGGCAGCATTGTGTACAGTGGACGCTGGACAACATGACCCCTAAAGTCCCTTCCAGTTCAGAGATTCTATGATTTTTGTTGCTCCTTTCCTCCCAGGTCCTTCTCTGATCTCATTCAAAGCAGGAAACCTGGTTCTAAGCACTCTCTCTCTTCTCTCTGTCTCTCCCTCCCTCCTTCTCTTCCTCCTTCCATCCTTCTCTGTCTTCTTTCTCTGTCTCCCTGTTTCTCTCTCTCTCCCTCTCTCTCTTTCTCTCTCCCTCCCTCTCTCTCTCTCTGTCTCCCTGTCTGTTTCTCTCTCTCTCCTCCCTCCTTCTCTGTCTCCCTCCTTCCCTTTCTCCTTCTCTCTCTCTCTGTCTCCCTGTCTCTCTCTCTCTCTGTCTCTCTATTTCTCTCTCCCCCCTTCTGTCTCTCTGTCTCCCTGTCTGTTTCTCTCTCTCTCTCACTTTCTCTCTCTCTTCTCTCTCTGTCCCTCTCTGTCTCTCTCCTTCTCTCTCTCTCTTCTCTCTCTCTGTCCCTGTCTCTGTCTCCCTGTCTGTTTTTCTCTCTCTCCTCTCTCCTTCTCTGTCTGTGTCTCTCCCTCCCTT